ATAAAGTAGATGCCATTTCCTGCATTCTGGTGTATTTTAATGTGTTGTTTAACATCTAGTTTTACCTACATAAGTAAACACTTGATTCATCAACTATTTTAGAGTTAATGGCACAACAAGAAGTAGTAGCTATGCTAGCGGCACGCAATACAGATGCTCTAGCTAAGATGCTACAGACGTAGCGCTCCTCTTTACACTACACAACCTAATAAACGCTTTGTACAAAATCATTTTAGTGTTAGCTTATCATAACAAACAAATAATAAACTTATGCAACCAGAAGTTGCAACATATGTCTACATTTAAAACAGTCAAAACAAAGCACAACTAGCTTTAGGCATTAACCTTTAATTTAACCATTAAGCATACAATGTAATTATGACAGAAAATGGAGGATTTACAACTGAACATGTGCTACTTCCTGTTTATCACTGTTGTATTCAGTTGATGGTAAATGGACTGTACTTATATATCACCTTTCTATCTTATCAAGACACTCAAAGCTCTTTACAACAATCTGTGCCTCATTGACCCATTCATACAGCTCTATACTAGATCTACACAAAGCTAATTGAACAAATCATTCTAAAGAGACCAATCAGAGTTTTTATCACATTCAAACACTGATGGGACACATATCAGAGGCTATGAGGGGTTCAGTGTCTTGCCCAGGGACACTTTGGCATGTGACTGCTGGTGGATTTGAACCCCCAACTCTTGCATTGGAGGACGACTTCTCTAACCACACAGCCACAGCTGATGAGGTTGGCCATAGGCCTTTATCCATCTTTTACATTTTTTCCAGACTCAGTTGAGGTTTTGTAAATTGAACAAACTGTATTCCACCCTCTAAACTCAGAGTAACACTGTCTGAATTACATGTTCTCCACTGACGACTTTTAACCATTTTTTTCTGATGATTTTTCACAAAATCCCTCTGACAGCAAAGCATTCATAATGCAAACCCCAGACAATGTTGTTGGAGGAAAAGGGGGTGGAGCTCCTGCAGGTAAGGGGCGTTTCACTTCGGGAGAAATTGAGATCACTGATTGGTCAGTTGCTGACAAGCCTGCTGGATTGATTGACAGGTGGTGTTGAAGATCTGAATTGTGCAAAAAATTCACAGATTTTACTGGACTGTTTAGGATTGTCATAATTTACTCCATGTTTATTTCAAAATTTTTAAATATTTTGGTGAGTTTAAGATTCGAGAACTGAGTTTTCTTACAAAATCCTATTGATGGTTTCTTAATTTTTCAGGAGAGTTGAGTTAAAATTTAGGGGTGCTTGAGCACCTCCAAAAAGAGGCTAACATTGCCACTGGTAACAACCCTGTTTAACTGTAACTGTAAGTATAGCATGTAATGTAAGATGAGACGGGTGTAGCTTGTGGGATATTTAAGGACATATGATGCTTACGCTGTCTTGTCTACTTCTTCATGTATTTTCTTGACAGACAGCTTGATGTTGAACTTGATACTGTTGAGGATATTCTTGAAGTAGGTCTTCTCGTTTACATCAAACTGGAAAACAACAAAGTGAATGTGATTATGTATAATTTTATTCATGTTAACAACCTGAAGTCATATAAGATAAAATGCTGGCTAGCGTGAAGTTTTCTCACACAAGTCCCATGCAATCCATGCACACGATCCCAGCAAGTTCTGAGTTTAAACATTCATGTGTTACATAAAGAAACAAAAATACTGAAATTAATTAATGTTTTACGTGATGAACAAAATAACATTTCTGGCTTTGTCAGACAAAATGCAATTTACATCACATCCCCATAACCCTCACATTTTGTCCTGTCAACCTCAGAGCCTCTCTTTTACACATCTTCCAAATTGAATATTATTATGGATTTGGTCAGCTGGTCCCTCAAAGCAATTGATAAAAATTTTTCCACCAGATGACAGGGTGCTGGAGAGCCCTCATGCCCTGAACAGACACATGCTGCTGGGTATGTCATTGATTCCTGGGGGCAGTGCAAGACGATGTGCTTATCTGTGCTGTCTGTGGAGGACGTAGAAGATGTGTACATCATTGGATTTATGATAACAGGGTTTCTGCTTAATGAATTGGCAGATACCTAGGATATCAACAAATTAGGAAGACATTGGCAGCAGTTTCGGTCATGGTAAAGCTGCCAGCCTTATGTGAAGGATTAATTTGTGCCTCGAGCTCTCAGATCATATGCTTAACGAGCTCAACCGCAAACTGGATGAGATTTCTGAGAATCGTAGGCCAATTGCGACTCCTGGAACTCGCCGACATGAAGGATTCAATCGAATACAGACCGGATGGAATATCCACAAATCTGGCTGTTTGGATTTGCCATTGAGCATAGCAGTAGAACTGAAGGCAGACAGAAATCAGAGTCTGGTGGCCCAAACAATTGTTGTTTATCTGAATTTGACCTCCATGCTGGCCTTGGCCAGGCCAACTTATCTCAAATTGCTCCTGGAGGATACGTAACCTATAAGATTCTGCCTGCCCCGCCCCCTCCCGAGGACATCTGTGGCCTTATCAGAATTGTGATGCTGATAGACACTGTACCATCTTATCAGAACTTTGGAACTTTCTGGAGTGTTTATGGACTACTCATCACCTTTGTTGACCTCTATGCATAAATGTATATGTCTTATGTCTATTTACTGTTTGTTGCTTTTTGTGCTGAGGTCATTTCAGATCTCCTCTTTCCTCATGTTGTTACTTTCTTTGTCTAAAACGGTGGTGCCGCTCAAGTGGCTGCAGCTTTAGTCTCCCCATATCCTGATGCATGCTCAATAATCCAGGTAGAAAAATCTAAAAAAGTTAAATCTGGTCCTCTGGACATTCAAAAAAACAAAACAAAGCAAAACAACAACAAAAAAAATGTAGAAACATTTCGTCTTTTCCCGGTCCGGGGGCCTTTCTGGGTGGAGTTTGCATGTTCTCTCCGTGCATGCGTGGGTTTTCTACAGGTACACCAGTTTCTTCCCACAGACCAAAAACATGCATGTTAGGCTGATTGGTAACTCTAAATTGTCCCTAGGTGTGAGTGAGAGAGTGAATGGTTGTTTGTTTCGTTTGTCTCTATGTGTCCCTGTGATGGACTTGAGACCTGTCCAGGGTTTCCCCCGCCCCTCACACAGTGATTGCTGGACATGGGCACTGGCGACCCCCGTGACCCAAAATGAAAGAAGTGGGTAAAAGATGATGGATGGATTTCAAGTGTATGGAAGTCACAGCTTTATAGTATTTGTTCATATTTACAGTTTTATGATTGTCTCTGTAATTAACTCAAGCTCAGTGATGAAGGACTTTAAGTCTTTGGCTGCTCTGTGTCTGATTTAAGGTCAATAAGATTGTGTCCCACCACTTTTAACAAAACACACCGACCTTATTACTGTGTAGATACTGATACACCTCAGAGCTTTTCAGGTTGTTCATCACTTCACCGTCAGAAGAACTGAGTCTGTGACGTAGCTAAATATGCTAGGAGATGTAGCTAAATATGCTAGTAGATGTAGCTAAATATGCTATTAGATGTAGCTAAATATGCTAGTAGATGTAGCTAAATATGCTTGTAGATGTAGCTAAACATGATAGTAGATGCAGCTAAGTATGCTAGTAGATGTAGCTAAATATGCTAGTAGATGTAACTAAATATGCTAGTAGATGTAGCTAAATATGCTAGGAGATGTAGCTAAATATGCTAGTAGATGTAGCTAAATATGCTAGTAGATGCAGCTAAATATGCTAGTAGATGTAATCTGCAGTCACTTCTTCAGCTCGTCCTCCGTCCCTCGTATGATTATATTGTCCTGTCTGAGCTCTGACAGGTGATATTCCATCCATCCATCCATCCATTTTCTTCCGCTTATCCGGGGTTGGGTCGCGGGGGTAGCAGCCTAAGTAGGGAGGCCCAGACTTCCCTCTCCCCAGCCACTTGGGCCAGCTCTTCCGGGGGAATCCCGAGGCGTTCCCAGGCCAGCCGAGAAACATAGTCCCTCCAGTGTGTCCTGGGTCTTCCTCTGGGCCTCCTTCCGGTGGGACGTGTCCGGAACACCTCACCAGGGAGGCGTCCAGAAGGCATCCTAAACAGATGCCCAAGCCACCTCAACTGGCTCCTCTCGACATGGAGAAGCAGAAGCTCTACTCCGAGTCCCTCCCGGAGGATCGAGCTTCTCACCCTGTCTCTAAGGGAGAGCCCAGACACCCTGCGGAGAAAACTCATTTCGGCCGCTTGTATCCGAGATCTCATTCTTTCGGTCACAACCCAAAGCTCGTGACCATAGATGAGGGTGGGAACGTAGATCGATCGGTAAATTGAGAGCTTCGCCTTTTGACTCAGCTCTCTCTTCACCACGACAGACCTGTACAGCGCCCGCTTCACTGCAGACGCTGCACCTATCCGCCTATCGATCTCATGCTCCATTTTTCCCTCATTCGTGAACAAGACCCCAAGATACTTGAACTCCTCCACTTGGGATAGGACCTCCTCCCTGACCCGGAGAGGGCACTCTACCCTTTTCCGGCTCAAGACCATGGCCTCGGATTTCGAGGAACTGATCTTCATCCCGGCCGCATCGCATTCGGCTGCGAACCGCTCCAGCGAAAGCTATAGATCACGATCTGATTAAGCCAATAAGACCACATCATCTGCAAAAAGCAGAGACGCAATCCTAAAGCCACCAAAATGGATCCCCTCAACACCTTGGCTGCGCCTAGAAATTCTGTCCATAAAAGTTATGAACAGAATCGGTGACAAAGGGCAACCTTGGCGGAGTCCAACTCTCATCGGGAACAAGCTCGACTTACTGCCGGCAATGCGGACCAGGCTCTGACACCGGTCATACAGGGACCTAACAGCCCGTATCAAAGGGCCCGGTACCCCATACTCCCAGAGTACCCCCCACAGGGTTACCCGAGGGATGCGGTCGAACACCTTCTCCAAGTCCACAAAGCACATGTAGGCCGGTTGGGCAAACTCCCACGCACCCTCCAGGACCCTGCTGAGAGTGTAGAGCTGGTCCAGTGTTCCACGGCCAGGACGAAAACCGCACTGTTCCTCCTGAATCCGAGGTTCGACTATCCGACGGATCCTCCTCTCCAGAACCCCCAAATAGACCTTACCAGGGAGGCTTAAGAGCGTGATTCCCCTGTAGTTGGAACACACTCTACGGTCCCCCTTTTTGAATAGGGGGACCACCACCCCGGTCTGCCAATCCAGGGGAACTTCCCCCGATGTCCACGCAATATTGCAGAGTCGCGTAAGCCAACACAACCTTACAACATCCAGAGCCTTAAGGAACTTTGGCCGGATCTCATCTACCCCGGGGCCCTGCCACCGAGGAGCTTTTTAAGCACCTCGGTGACCTCAGCACCAGAGATTGGAGGGCCCGACCCAGAGTCCCCAGGCTCCGCTTCCTCAGTAGAAGACGTGCCGGTGGGATTGAGGAGGTCTTCAAAGTATTCCGCCCACCGAGCCACAACATCCCGAGTTGAGGACAGCAGCACACCACTCCCACTATAAACAGTGTTGGTGGCGTACCGCTTTCCCCCCCTGAGACGCCGGATGGTGGACCAGAATCGTCTCGAAGCCGTGCGGAAGTCGTTCTCCATGGCCTCTCCGAACTCCTCCCATGCCCGAGTTTTTGCCTCAGCAACCACCCGAGCCGCATGTCGCTTGGACTGCCGGTACCCATCAGCTGCTTCCGGGGTCCCACAGGCCAAAAAGGCCCGATAGGACTCCTTCTTCAGCCTGACAGCATCCCTCACCGACGGTGTCCACCATCGGGTTCGAGGGTTGCCGCCGCGACAGGCACCGACAACCTTGCGGCCGCAGCTCTGGTAAGCCGCCTCAACAATAGAGGCATGAAACCTGGTCCACTCAGACTCAATGTCCCCCACCTCCCTCGGAACATGTTCAAAGTTCTCCCGGAGGTGGGAGTTGAAACTCTGTCTCACAGAAGACTCTGCCAGACGTTCCCAGCAAACCCTCACAATACGTTTGGGTCTGCCAGGTCTGACCGGCATCCTCCCCCACCATCGGAGCCAACTCACCACCAGGTAGTGATCAGTTGACAGCTCCGCCCCTTTCTTCACCCGAGTGTCCAAGACATGCGGCCGCAGATCAGATGAGACGATGACAAAGTCGATCATCGAACTGCGGCCTAGGGTGTCCTGGTGCCAAGAGCACATATGGACACCCTTATGCTTGAACAAGGTGTTCGTTATTGACAATCCATGACGAGCACAGAAGTCCAACAACAGAACACCACTCTGGTTCAGATCAGGGGGGCCGTTCCTCCCAACCACACCCCTCCAGGTCTCACTGTCATTGCCCACATGAGCATTGAAGTCCCCCAGCAGAACAAGGGAGTCCCCAGAAGGTGCACTTTCCAGTACCCCCTCCAAGGACTCCAGAAAGGGTGGATAATCTGAACTGCTGTTTGGTGCATAAGCACAAACGACAGTCAGAACCCGTCCCCCCACACGTAGGCGGAGGGAGGCCACCCTCTCATTCACCGGGGTGAACCCCAGTACACAGGCACCAAGTTGGGGGGCAATAAGTACGCTCACGCCTGCTCGGCGCCTCTCACCAGGGGCAACTCCAGAGTGGAAGAGTGTCCAGCCCCTCTCAAGGAAACTGGTTCCAGAGCCCGAGCCATGCGTAGAGGTGAGTCCGACTATTTCTAGCCGGAACCTCTCAGCCTCACACACCAGCTCAGGCTCCTTCCCCACCAGTGAGGTGACATTCCATGTCCCAATAGCCAGCTTCTGTAGCCGAGGATCAGACTGCCAGGGTCACCGCCCTCGGCCACCACCCATCCCACATTGCACCCGACCCCTTTGGCCCCTCCCACAGGTGGTGAGCCCATGGGAAGGGGGACCCACGTCTCCTCTCCGGGCTGTGCCCGGCCGAGCTCCATGGGTAAAAGCCATGATGTTCCCACATGTTTAAATTAAACCCACAATGCTCAGAGAAACTACATTAGCTCGTACTGTCTGCACATGAACAAACACCAGTTCTGGTCTGTGCTGGAAGTCGCACTCATAATGCACGCAAGGCAGCATGGGGGCTAGGAATAAGGTGGATAGGTTTAGTAAAGTATTGCATGAATCAGTGGACTGATTTTAATGAAACTCTCAGAAAATGATGAATGAACGAACATCTACAAGAAATAAACTTTTGGAGTCAACACCATTGAAGATCCCACAGGCCACAGCAAACCAATGTTAGCAGTAATAAGTATAGCTACACCTTAACAGCCAATATGACAAATATTGAGTTAATATCAAGTGGGGTAGTAGTTGAGACTGATCCCCAGCACTTATTCTGATTGTTACACATTGTGCAATATTGTTTCTCTTTAGCAAAATATTTCATGAACCACTGGACAAATTTTAGGGAAACACTCAAAGAAATATCTATTAGATGCACATCCACAAAAGATTATTTAACACAATCCTATTTGGTTGCAACACCTAATCAGCCTCAGTCAACACAAACATATTTATAGCTTAGTCATTTTTACAGATAACCAAATATTGATATTGACAATGAGATATTGAGCTAAAGTTTGACATGGTAGTAGTTGATAGCCATGCTCAGCACATACTCTGAGTGTGACATATTTTGGAAGCTATTGTGATATTGCACACGTTTGTGCATAATGTCACTTACAAGGTATAAAGAAAAGAACTATAACTCTGTCCTCTCTCATCATAACATTATCTTGGTCTAAAACTCCAGCTAGAACAGTGAGCTTTTCAGCACACCTTTGTTATCTTAAATTTGAGTCCAAATTTCAGAGTTTTTAAAGTCTGAATATAGAGCAAACAGTCTATCTCCATTCATGTTTATCATGATCTGACCAAAACGTGTTACAACCCAAAGTGCAGGAAGATGTGGAGACTCCGATAAAATAAGTAAAAGGTTTATTATTGAATAAACAAAGCAAAATGCTGCCAGGGCAGCTACAGTAACTTACTTTAAAGGAGGACATGAAGGGGAGACAGATCACAAAGTCTTAGACAGGACAATCCAGAGACAAAGACATAACACCAAGGGGCTGAATATATACAGATGCTGACAAGTGGAAATGACAGACACCTGCGGTGATTAGAATCGGACACAGGTGCGTCAGCGCTGGAACACGGAGGAGAAACACTGAGGGGTGACTGGTAAACTTGAGGGAAACGCAACATGCAGGACCAGATCCCAGAAACCCTACAATGTTCATGGCTATCTACAGAATTAGGAGACTCTTGAACGTATATTTCTTGACACAAGCCTGATTTTCTTTACATTTGGAGGATGGATAAACAAACTTGGGGAAAACGGTACACTTCTTTATATAAAAGATTTCATCATCAAAATGTAAATTACAGTGATTTTTTTCTAAGTCTGATTCAAAGGCTGCATGTTTTAGCCTGATGACGAGTCCTCGGGATTCTTGGAAGAATGACTGATGTGTGGGTACTTGTGTGTAGTAATAATGACTGCGTGGCTCCGATGATAAAGAGGTTCATGACTCACCCCATATTCTTGATCAATGAGCTCAGGTTTGAGCAAGAAGTCTGGGTATCCTGTCATTACCATCATGTACTTGAGCTGGAACAAGAGGAGAAGAAAATGGTGTCACAACAAAACCTCACATCTACTAGTAGTAACTAAAAACCCACACAAGCATACTTGGATTTGGACCCACACTCACACATTCATAAGCTAATCAAGCCAACCCAATGTAATAGGATTACAGCAAAGCTTTTTATATTCTGAATGGGCCCTAAAAGGATTATCATTTTGGATTGTAAAAGTATTAGAAATATCTTGCAGTGCAGATCCTAAATCAGCACCACAGAGAAATCCGGATTAGGCAATCTTCATCTTTCAAAGTCAAGCCCTTGACGTGTCACACTGCTATCTCCCCCAAAGTATTACAAAGAATTTAAATCCTTTTCAAATAGTAATCGGATCTGGCATGAAGTCATGTTCGTGATCCTAAGGCTCAGTTTAGGCTCTCAACCTTTGCTCTGGCAGCCTCTTTGGTGGTCTCATCCATCCAGTCCAACTCCTGCAGCCGAAGATCTAAGGAATGCTTTATGTCCTCCACCAGCTCCTGTACCTGACGGGAGAGAACATCAAACAGCAAAAAGTCTTTAAGGCCACTGAAATGTGTTGAAGGATATTATAACAGTTTTTGAAGTTATTAGCAGGAATAATGCCAAGCGGATGTGATCAGTCAGTCTTTCAGTTTGTCCGTTCAATGTGAAACTTAAGGAAGTACAAAAAAAGAGAGGCCTTGTAGCTACAGGCTTCTAATGTCCAACCTTCAAACAGCAACTTAGGAATAAAGATGTTGTTTTAAATTCTGCCTCTGAAGGTAGCATCTCACTGGGCTGCGACTGTTTGACTAGTTAATGACTCAAAGTTGTGAGAAAACAGGAACATTTTTCTGTTGCAGTCTCCCTGAATTCTGTTTGCAACCAAGAGGGGGGAAGTCTGAGCTTGTCATCACTGTATGTTCCCATACAATGATGAAATCAGTTCTGTGCATTTAACCCATCACACCTGAGATACACCCAGGTGGAGCAGTGGACAGCTATGTATGCACGCAGGGAGCAATTAGGGATTAGGTGTCTTGCTCAGAGACACCACGGCATGTGGGAATGGCTCGGAGTCGAACCACAACTTTCTGGTTCCAAGTCGGTTGCCCTGCCTCTACTCTATCTCGGCCCCCAACCAAGCAACCATTGACGTGTGCAGCAGCATTTGTAGTGGCCAAATTTAGTAAATAATGTACCGTTATTGTGTGCATGACTTGCAGAACTGGATTCCAATGATTTGTGCACATAACTTTGTTGCCGACTTCCACCCACGTCATACCCGCCTTGGTTAGGTTTTACCCACCATGACACCTTGACATATATGATTGTGTACACTGAAGTACACTTTTAAAATGAATATAGGAAGATTATGACCAGTTTTAAAGTGAATATTTACCAAAGGTGTGGTTTTTAGATCAGGACATTAGCCTCATATGTTCTGTCAGAGGGGTGCTCACATGCAGCAGTCAAGATACAGCGTTAATGCAGTCGAGTTGGGTTTGAGATGCCTGTTGGGTAAAAGTTTGTCACACACAATTTTGCACATGTTCAAAATTCAAGCAACCAGGCAGCAAGTCTCTGACTTACACAAAGAAATGTAGACCCCCCTGAATGATTCAAGGAATATTAAAGACTTTCCTGCAAATAGTTGCAAAACAGTCACCAGAAGTTGCAGCCCAGTGAGATAATACCTTCAGTGACTAAACAACATGCTTTCCATATGTGGAAGAAGAAAACAAACAGAAAACTTTGCCTGATGCTTTGCGACTTTTGCAAGGTTCTCAACTTCCTCTGCAGAGGTGAGTGGTTTAAGTTTTGAACATGCTCAAATCATGTCTTGCTGCAACTTTTCTTTTAAATCATGTGCATTTAAAAACCCATCTGAGATTTGATAGAGGAGGGCTATGCTGTATTGTATTGTCACACCTGCAAGGGAGCTTTGCTTGGACAGAAAAAATGTCCAGGTTGAAAAAGGACACTGATGCTGACTAATAATAATTAAAAAATCTGGTCAAAAACAGTCTCGGTTCATTTCAAAATTTTATTCCCGCAAGTTAAATCATAAATGTGAAGACAGCTGCTGATGTAGGCGGAGGTGGGCAACAAAAATATTGTTCGTAGCCAAGGATTCAGTTTTGAGAGACGTGCATATGAAAACAAGCTGTGATTTTGAAATACGCCTGCTCATAACGCAGCCACATGGCTTGTTGGCCACTTGGTCACAGTCCCTTGACGCTCAGTGAGACTGCTGCTGAAAAGTCACAAATTTTCTTGGAATCTTTCTGCAATTTGTGCACTGTTTTCAGAGATTGTTTCCACCAACACTTCTCTCAACAGTTGCACTTCAATGAGTTACCACCATAAGCAGCGACACTGATTCAGTGAAAGTCAAACGCCTCCTGAGCTACAGCACACCACCATTGTTTAAGAAGCGATGCTACCTCAGAGGTCAAGTTTAAAAGTACAGGCTGAACAACAGGAAACAACCATCACTTCCTGTTGGAAGCATCAATACCACTGAGGTTGTAGTTTCAAAACACTTTAAGATACTTTTGTTTACAACCTGCTCCTATATACATTTGATAAAAATCTTCCATCTCTAGTATTATTCAGAAAATTAGCGTGGACTTATTTAGATGTAAATAGATGTAAATATGAGGAACTGTACACAGAAAGTAAAAATAATTTACAGCGTTTACACTGTCGTACGTAGTTTGCGTTATGTCCTGTTGCATGCTCAATAATCCAGGTAGATGAATCTAACAATTTTACGTCAGGTCCTCTGGATGGATTCTTTATGTTGAAACTTTTCATCTTTTAGCCAAAAGGCTTCTTCAGTCTGAGGAGCTGCAGTAAACT